GTTTGCTGTACCAGTATCTACGATTACGAAGGCTACCAGAGGTATGGGGTCTCTCATGGACCCAATCAAGAGAACCAGTTCGGGAAGGTTACGGATTGCCGCCCCTGAGGACGATAGGAAGATCATTTATGCATCAACTCAAGATGCCAGACAAGCATATTTCGATATCATGGCCGGAATATCGACGACGGCGACGTCGCTACCATCTAGATGTACCATCAACAGACACCTGTGGGTCGCTGGAATATGTGGAGGAAGGCTTGACAAAAAGTATCTGGCTCTTTGGAAAAACAGACGGACTCGACTTTAATGGGCGCGTGGGCACCTTCACTGGACCTTCAAGCAATGACGCGAAGACATCTAGAGCGACAAGTCAAAGAATGTTTGCCTTCGTACACTTGGGTTTCGTTCGTAGACGACCTTTCAAAACACAAGTTCCGACCTCAAGTACCATTTGACAACTCTCAGGCATGGTGCCGACTCAGTATTTTTTTGGGGATGATCTCCGAGTCTAGGCATGGGACCCATGCACCACATCCTCACCACTACGGCCCAACAGATGAACGTTGACATTTTGGAGGAATCCATGCTACCTTTCTCCCGTCCTGTGCATGGAAGAAAATTTACTTTCCAGCGAGATAATGACCCCGGACACAGATCTAAAAGGGGCGCGTGAGTGATTGACTCATCGGGAAATTTGATGCCTTGGCTCACCCAGCCAGTCCCCTGACCTAAACATCAGTGGACCCTCGTGACAAGAACTCAAAGAAAGGATAGCCGATAAAATAGTCACAAATGCTGCTCAGAATTTTGGCCTATTTGAAGAAAAATGGAAGGAATTCATTGAGTGCCTGATCGACAAGTTGGTCGAATCAATGCCCCGCAGATGCCAAGCCGTCGTCGATGCTAACGGCCTCGCTACATAGTGTTAGATTAGTGGTCAATTAGCTTCTAATCTCATGATGATAACGTTCAAGTCAAGTGGTTTATTTCAAATTACTGGAATTGATAGTATTTTGTCCTCTTGAGAAAAAATGTGAAAAGTGGTCTTTTATACGGGTTAAAAAGGAATTTTATGAGTTCTGTGATAGAGAGATTGTATATTATTACTGTTGACAACCTATCAAAAAATCAGTAAAAAAACATAGGAATCGAGATGAGTTATGGCAAAAAAGGTTCGAGGTTATTTCTTTTGAACAGTATTGTATGTTTGGACTATGCTGAAACTATACCACAACCACAGATATGACTATTCTGTGAATTTGTTTTCCATGTGTATTTTCGAAGCTCTTGATACTTCACTTTATTGGCTAGCTTTCGGCATATAATGCCTTCTTCAGACCTTAACTTTACAATACATAGTTGCAAACAACCAGNTAGCCAATAAAGTGGAGTATCAAAAGCTTCGAAAATACACATGGAAAACAAGTTGGAATGAAGCTCAGAGATAGCAGCATTTTGAAATATTCTGTGAATGTGAGATGGTCTTTCATTGAAATCGTGGGCATGACGAAATCGAGGGTCGTCACGTAACACAAATAGGAGTTCTGAATGCTAGGTGAGCGTTCAAGGAGTATTTGGAGGTGAAGTCTTCCACTGCGTAGCGGCGCGTTAGTATCACGGACAGAATCAGCTCCGAATCAGTAATCCACCACTCCTTCTTAAATAAATGATGTAGTAAACTTTAAGTGCCCAAAGAAAATATCACTCATGATTGATCATGTTCAGTGAGCCAGAATTCATTAAATACAGCAAACGGAGGAACGCAAGGATTACTTCAAGGAGAGAACTTTGCTTCTGAATCATTTGACAAGGTCAGTCAGATCGCAAAGCAGTTCCACTGCTCATGCGATAAGGACATCATAGGAAGTATCGAGTGGAAAGCGGAGCTCATAAGGCGCAAAAAGCTCATGCTGGAGCAGCATATGCAGCCAAAGCTCTGGTGTTCTTCATTCATGCGAGAGATTACCCTAACCGATTTGAGGCTTTGCTGTCGAAGCTGTGGTTAGGTAGATGTGCGAGAATCCGTAGCGACGGCGGCTCCCTTGCTTGAGTCCCCTTGTCCGTCCGGGTCGCGCTTGAAGTTGTTCTTCACGCCTTAGGTAGCGCAAAGCAAGCCCCGGCAAGTTATTTCTAAGCCATCGTGTTCTGGATTAAGGACCAGGACTCGCTCGGGAATTATCCGCCTACCAAGGGCAGGCGTCCTGTCGCCCTGTGACATGCTTTCGTCACTACCATCAGATGACGACATGTATGGTCCGAGATCTCTTGCCTAAGTTTTCTACAGCTAGACGGAGTTATGCATTGGAGCCTCCATGTTTTTTTTGCCATTTATATAATTATCTATCTATAACTAATAGTTCAGCGGCACGTCTGCATGTCTGAACGGCTAAGAGTAGGCCACCTCAGCTCCCTATGATCCAGAGTGGCTATAGCCGCGATGGTGATCAAGCTCTGGCAAGGCAGTGTTGAGAGTCCAGAGAGCTGAAACAACTATGAAACAGCCTCTGCACCTCGCACACTACACTCAGCCGTTTACGACGTCGGACGGTATGGCGACCGGTGAGAGGCGAAGAAATCTCGGTTGCGCGGGACGCCTTGGATTTGGAACCAGGACAGCACTCCCTCCACACGACACGGGAACCTCTCCTGCTTATACCAACAACGTGAGAACAGTCTCTCCATGAGCTCCTCTTGTGCTGCAGGACACAGGAGGACGGACTTATGACAAGTGAATGATGAAACCCTACATTCGTGGTGAAATGGTTCCATCGCGAAACGTTGGCGGCGTTGGTTTCGTCGTGCACTTCATCTGTCGTCCATTTCGTCGATTCTCTTGAGGTCCTGTCTTCTCGCTTTGCCAATCCACGCCTGCGACATACGCACATAATGACCATCTCTACCGTCAATTGCTACTCCGCGCAATCTACTGCTGACGAAGTAGAGCTCGACGCGTTTTGTGAACAACTCGAGGAAATCATTCACAACGAAATGTCCTTCTACAAATTCGTTGTTGGAGATTTCAACGCTAGGCTTGACGAAGTACAATAGGAGGAATTCAGGATTGAGGTACTGGAACGAAAACCGTCTAGCGGGACTTCTGTCCGCGGCTCGACTATTCCATGGAAACTCTTTCTTCCAGAAGATGGAATATCGCCACTGGACATGGCAGTCTAAAAACGGTACAACTCATGGTGAACTGGACCACATATTGGCAAACAGAAAGTCGTGCTCACTATATGTTGGTGTGGTACCATCCTTCTGCAGTGGTTCTGATCATCGACTCCATCGCGCTAAGATCAAACCCAGTCACAAGCTGGAAAAGATCTCTTAGTATCGCGCAGAGAGCTCGAAGCATGTTGGATACGACGGATATGTTCTGAATGGTGCCGAGTCCCGATATGACTGGCAGGTCTTGGATGACTGGAGGACTATGACGCGCTGGTTCGTGGTCTCCTCTTTTGTGCTGAACAGGCCAAGCTTCGCGAGTGGATACCTCCGCTCGCATTTCAGATGTGACGAAGGATATTTTCAAGACAAGAAGAAGCTTGAGGTTTGACGAGAACGCCACATCTTGAAAGGCTGCAAGCGAATAGCAGCTGCAGACAGGCAGTGCAGCGAGACCTGCAGCTATACAAGGAGAGGAGACTACTGGAGGCAGCCCATCGGGGTCTTCAAGGCTACAGTATCCCACTTTCGTGCTTGAAAAAGGACGACGGAACACTTACAATGTCGAAGTTTGAGATGAAGGAAGTCACACGGAGGTTCTACACCAACCTGTACCGATTCACGGCACACGCGCTTGAATCAAAAATCTCCCCAGGCGGAACAGCACCTTGGATCCTTTCTTCGGAGGTGAGAGTTGCGATTTCGAGCATGAAAAGGGGCACAGCTCCAGACCCTGACAAGATCTAAGTCGACTTTCTCCGTGCAGGTGGCTACGAACTTGATGCGATTCTCGCGACACACATGACGTACTATCTCCAGAAGGAGAAGATCCCCAACCAACGGAGGGACTCGCCGATGGTCAATCTTCAAGAGATGGGAGACCGGGATGGTCTTCTACCGCCCAATAAGTGTGCTTCACAAGCTGTTCACGAAGATCATTCTGACCCGCATATCGCCAACGTTGGATGAAGCTTAACCTGTAGAGTAGGCCGGATTCCGCAGGGATTCAGCTTCTTAGGTCACATCCAAGCGATCGCAATCGTCATCGAAGCATACCGAGAATTCCGAATAGTTCTTGTCATTACCTTTGTTGAATATGAAAAAGCTTTCGACAGCGTCTCAACGAATGCGGCCCTGTCAGCACCGGTCGATCAAGGACCTCGGCTATATAAGAATACTAGCTGGCTGCAATAGCCGCTGCAGCGCGACGGTGAAGCTGTTCCAAC